CTTGGATATCGCTATGAAAAGCGAACCGATTTCCTCACTGGTGCTAAAACAAGTGACATATTGCCAACGAATTACCCTCTTTCACTGATAATGTGTCAACTAAACCATTTCTTTGAAAGCTTCTCGTCTCAAGTTATCTTTTCTTCGCTAAACAAACAACTGGGCCTTTAATAAACTGTGAACTCGATATTTCCTTCAGTGTAAAATAAATTTAGGTTTGGCGCTCTCAACGAAGTTTATTTTAGGCGAAATTGCGAAGGAAGGAATCGCTCGAGTGTTGTTTGGTTTGGCGATCACGGGATATTGACATTTGCACATCTCGCAAATTAATATGTACATATTGGAAAAGGTTTCCCGCTTTGTTTTTGCGACATAAATCAATTTATAGTTTGTTCTTCAAACCGGGAATCATATATTTCTTTTCTTGGGAATCTCATTGGTCTTTTATCTTTGCATTTTCGAGCGATAAACTCGACATAAATTCAATGGTAGTTTTGCTTCCCACACATTGCTCCAGAGCGCATATTATTCAATTATAGTCTTCAACTAATAAGAAATCAAAAGTAAACGAGGAAAAAAGAAGCTGTTATTTATCGTTTCTGAAGTAGTGTATACACGTTTCTTTTATGGTAGGATTGATTTAACAGCGGCGCTGAGTTTATAAGTCGAGCTAAGGACCTTTTGAATGAAAATTTTCGTGCCTACGTCAAGAACAATTATTTCGGCTGAAACAAATTTATTAAATTAGCTTCTTTGTTTTCTTGTGCTTGGCATTGTTTTTGTTTGCCTCAAGAACGCCATTCATTGGCGCAATTGTTCTTTTTTTTTTTTTCTGTGTTCGAATTTATTTAACAATTGGATTCGAAGCAAGGATTTAACTTTTTCGTGCACGCACTTGGTTTACAAAACAAACTGGTGGTATTTTGTTCGCTGAAATCGCTTTTTCACGATCGATGCACGATTCCCAACCTGGGGCTTTTATTAATTTCCTGTGCTTGCATATCTTGGGGTTTTTAGCCAAATCTCCTGCTGTTGTATTTATTCAAACGGCGTTCTGAAAAGAGCGTGATTAGAAATTCTAATTTTGCAACAATCGCAACTACGTGTATGCAAAGATAAGTATGGCGCGAAGGCAACATTATGATTCGTTCGTAACTCGGTTTTTAAGTTCATTTTCGTAAATCTTCTATCTTCTATCTTCTAAAGATGTGTAAGCTCAATTGATAATCAGAGTAGAGGATTAAGAATCTTTTGATGGTGGGAAATGTGTTTTTTAGATAGCCTGAGGCAAGAAAACAACATATTATGTAAATTCCTTCAAATGTAGGCCCCCTACTGTTGAATTGGCGAGCACAGAGCACTTTGGCTATTCAGGCTATTGTAGTCTTCAACCAAACTTCCAAATTGAAACTAAAGGGAGTGGTTATGGAAAATATTTTTAATCCTTTTCATTCCAAGGTATTTTTCGAATCTATTTCTGTTCTGCTTCAGTTGAAAATAAACTTGAGATTAGCTTTTCTGTTGCGGAGTTCACAAGTCGAGTTCGATTCTTATCAATTTTATGAGATTTGCAATCACGCCAAAAAATTTTTTATACAGAACAGGCTGAAATTCCAGGTGCTCTTAATTACGTTAAGACAAACAGAAACCGAAAGTAAAGCGAATTTCAGCTGTACGTCATAAGATATTATATACATAAGCTTGTAATACAGTTGTATTAAGTTTTTTTCTTGGTAAGAAGTCAAGCTATATGACAGTCAGCTATTTATCAAGCTGCCTGATTTCAATTTGAAGTCAGTGAACTACAGTTTAATAATTATTGTTTTTCTTGGTTGTATTATTGATTGTATTGTTTTGATTTAGTGATACGATGAAGGTTTTTATCTCTCAAACAAAACAAAATTTTCTGAACAGAAGGAAATAACATATATTTTACAATGCACATGTATCAAATCACCTCGCATACATGTACTAACACCAGCTGCTATTCTATCAAATTAGGAAATCAGTGGTCGTCAACGGGGTGTTCCTCAATTAATTTTGCAGCCATGCTAGCTATTATTATGTTTCTTGTCACAACCCTTGGGAAGATAAATGCCGCAATGAAGTTTTTTATTTCTCCACCGTTATCGCCTGTAAGCTGCCTTATTCTCTGTCACTAATAAGCATTTTATAGAATGTCGTCAACATGTGCTGTAACAGCATTTTCGTACCAGCTTAGCTGCAATAGATTGAGGGAGAAGGCATTAATTTACGTATACCTCTGAGAGTTTTCCGTTTCAAATGGGCTTGGTGTAAAATAATTTGAGATCTGGTAGATCGCTAGAGCTAGCAAGCAACAAAAAATACCCATAGGATTGTTTGTTGGTGAAAATCGAGGTACAGTAGGAATCACCTAGAAATCCTGCGGTAAAGGAAAACTCTGTGCTGGAAAATGATCCATTACAAGGCTGATTAAATGCTCCTTTCAGATGCCGTGATCCATCTTTATTGTACTTACATGTATAACTCTGTATTGTATCATTATTTTAGGAGTGTCACATGAAAATGTCATTAATTTTGTATTTGGCTTGAAAATCATACATTTGTGGATATATACTGTATACAGTTGAACCTCACTATCTCAAACTCGCGGTTATCTTGAACACCCCCTATCTTGAACTCAAACCCCCTTGGCCTTGTTTTTTCAGTCATTTACTATTGGCTATCTCGAACTCCTCGCTATCTCGAACTGTTTCCATTAAAAAAAATCTGGAGCTGTTTTTCATTTCCCTTGAGAGTTCGAGATAGCGTGTGGTTCAACTGTACCACAGGGACATAAATCTCTTACAAAACTGTAGCTGGACCCAATAGCCACTATGCTAGCTAGTAACTTAATTTGTCTGTTACTATCACATCATAGAAATCTCAAGCTCATAATCTAATTGTTAATTACCACACTGATGTGATCAAAGCAGGGGAAGACATCTAGTGCTAGCAACACACTGGCCCTGGTTCTTCATAGGGTTGATATAAACGTAGTATACACCGGATAAATACATACATACATACATACATGGTTTATTTGGTAAAGCAGGTTAGTATAGATACAGTAGGCAAGACATAAGTCCTGATGTGGACCTGCACTAATTACATTAATCACTATCAAGTTGAGAGCGTAGTTGATTTTGTTAACACGTGCTCCCTGTATAGTGATTTTTCCACAGTGGATATAGCATATTTATCCGCCCTGTTGAAAGTACCATGGAAATGTTTCTTTTATACTTTGAATCAGCACACAAATTATCATTACAGGAGAATTGAAGGTGTTGTATCGCAGATACATGTAGCACATCTTGAAAAAATTATCCTAAATTTTGCTGTTCGTAATCAACAGTATCTCATTTCTCTCCATTCTAACCACTCTTGCATGCTTCCATTTGGTTTTTATTGTACCCTCATTGGTACAGTATAGCGAAGTGTACTTTTCAACCTACTGTAACTAAACTATTATTTGAAAGAATTCATGTGAAGGAATTTTGTGCATTCCCAAAGAAGTGGGTTGAAAGATTCCGTGACAATCGCAACTGAGAGCGATCGTGGCTTCTTGACCTGTTAAGCGTGTCTGCAACTGTATTAGCCACACAAGGCAGCGTTTATAATTCCTTTATAACGTATCATAACTGAACAATAACAGTGAACGTGCGCCAACAGGCAAATGAACAAAGCCTTTCAACAACCAATCACAGCATGTCTTTCGCTATAGTCTGGCTGTGAACTCCCGCATAAAAGTATTATACAGGGTGTGAAAATGATTTGAATGTGTACCTCTTTGATTCGCACTAATTTTCCTTTACATTGTATGTATGTTACTATTACGAGACAAAACAAAATCATTGTTAATAGATCGATCTAGAAAAAGCCTCTTAACCCTTCCATTCCCAATAGGAGTGCCAAGTTAAAAACTGAGGAAAAAATCTTGAATTTCATTTTTCAAAAATGCCAAAAACAAACAGCAGTGCGTGAAAGTACTGCTCAATAGCTTTCGTTTGAATAGTCACACACTAGGGTTTCATCCACAGACTCAAAAGTTACAACCACATTTATTGACACAAGGTTTGACTCTGATAGTGAAAGGGTTAATTTTAATATCTCAGAGTGTAACTAACAGTACTAAATGCAGACGTGTCTTTAGAACTGATTAGAAAACTGTTACTTTTATGAGAGCTTTTATAATGTTAACAATTTAATTGATGTGCTCCATAAGGTCAGTTTAAGTTGCTTGTCTTCAGTTGAAATTTTGTTGCATCTCAAAAGTGTTCAAATCTCCGTTCTCCTGGCCAGGTTTCCAAATCTCCAAGATACGCAATGTACATGTACATGTACGGAGGGAAATAAATCAATTATGTATTTCACGCTTACTTGGCCGATTTTGGATACTGATTGACTCTCTGGTGGAAACGGAAGAGCTTTTTTCACCTACAGTATTGTGCAAAAGTAATGCAAATGATTTTCGTCGAATATTGCGCTTTGTCCAAAATTGGCAATCTTCCAGGTAATTTTGGAAAATTCTAGATCTATCATCAGGTATTGCAACGCCGTCTGGATGGAATAGCTGGTAGTGAAATCTGTACAATGGCAGAGCCTTTTACTAAGTCACGTCAGATACCAAGTTCACACAATTTTGCTTAAAGAGTGATTACTGATAACTTTTTTGCAGAAAGCGTTTTTTAATCCCGAAGGATTTTTTGCTGGAACTTTTTTCGCGGATCGTGAAAGAAACCACAGAAATCTCAAAAAAATAGAACCTGCAAAATTTCATGCCACACTTTACCTTCCTCAGAAGTTATTGACAATTCTACATAAATAGATCTTCGTATTTATTCTGATAATATTTTCAACTGAGAAATAAGGAGGTGTCTGTGAAGATGATGTTAATATTGCGGCTTAGTAAATAAGTGAGAATTGTCTGCTTATAATTCAATAAGTATTGTTCATACACTGTACATACATGTACGTGTGGCTTCATAGCTCAGTTGGTAGAGCATTGCATTAGTAATGTGGAGGTCGACATGTAATCCCACTGAAGCCCTGATTTTTTTTTTGCGAACACCACTGCGTGGATCATTTCTTCTTTATATGATTCATATATTTCTTACATAACTTCTCACTGTAATATCAATTGGTCAATACTGACAGAAGTGTAATGACGCAGGTGAACTGTATTTATTACCAAAATGGTTGATTCAGTACTGTTGATGTGTCAGAGGATTTATGATACAATAGTTGATTACTATACCAAATTAAATCAAAATGAAAAGTGTAACTTAAAGTTAGCTTGTTGCATCAGTTGGAAACAACACTTCGATTTCCAGAATCCCTAAATATATTTAATAATATTTATTATTGTTCGTACAATATTTTCAAAAGAATGAACAGCGATTCTACTCCGGAAATAATTATTTGCAATATACAATATTTGACCATGCCTTCAGTTGCTTGTTCAAAAATGTTGATGCAAGTCTTACGCTTTTTATTTTCCCGTTTTATTAGTGATTAATTCATAGCTTATTTTCTCTTCACGTTTTATATATAGACATGTCATTCAGTCAGTGGGATTGATCACACTTGTAATAAATTCTCCACCAAAAAAATGATGATTATCTTAGGGATATTATTCTTTTAAAAAAGATGAATTTGAATAACCTTTTAGGAGCGATATACTTGATTTCTGAATGTAAATTATTTTGAGTCGATCATTTCCAAAATCATTATTAACATTACAGTCAGTAATTTTATGTGGAATGAATCACATACTGTTACCTTAAACATTAAAGGAGCTACATGTACGTCACGGGTGATGCATCTTGAAATTTTTTTCAAGTTTGTCATTCCCAATACATCTTAAGTAATCTTCTCCATCCTCAACCATCCCTGTTCCTGTTTGGTTTATCATTACCTCTTTGGTGTTTTTCTACCTTTAGTTAGTAAACTGCTCTTGAATTTGAAGGTGATTTGCACTTCTCAAAAATGACTTAAAATATCATGACATAGCTTCTTTAATTTGTGTTTTGTGACCCTACGTACAGTTTGTTTGTAATTATACATTGACTTTGCTTGTACGTATACAATTGAACATTTGTTACGCCCAGCGAGTCTTCCCAATGAAGTGGTACATGAAATAACACTGGTCAGTTTTAGCTGGGAAAAATACCTGCAATGTATTGACCTCTGAGAAGTCTTTGGAGTCTTTGCAAATACTTTTTTGGAATAAAGTGTTTTCTCTTGGGGGTGGAAATTAACAGTAATGCCGACTCACCCAGGCAAGTATCAATTCTTTTGGACGAGTAGAAATTGTCCGCTTTTGGCATCAGGACTATCAAAATTAAATTGCCAACTCTGCTGCAACAGTCAGTATATGCTGTACATTGTATAATTACATGAAGAAGTTCTTGCAAAGGCCTTTTCAGAATTTATTGTTTTCTCATCCATAGCAGTACCCCAAATACCCAAAGTTAACAAATAATTATTACTTTATTTAGTAAAAAATTAAATCATATCTGAAGAAGTGGTGTCGAAGAACCAGCATGGAACTTAGTAAAAATCAGTGACAGATCTTAAGCGGAGGGGCTCAGGGGGTAGACATCGCCCTCCTTAAGCAAGAAAAGGCCTCACTCATTTTTGAGTACCTCTGATCTGCCACTGTAGTTCTGTATAAATTTGCAGACATCAGACATGCTATTTTTGTGCGTGTAGTGTCATGTTTGGCTCTATGCCCTGTCACGGAAGCACTTAATTTGGAAGGAATAAATCAATTTGCTGCGTTATTTTACATGTACAATGTACACTGTGCGCAAATTACTGGCCCAAATCTGTGTGTAGTGTATAAATGATCCACATTAGTACAAACACAAGTGGTAGCTTTATAAGTTCAGTAAAATAATAATACTTTATAATTTATGTTGAAGACTCAGATTTTAATTATTTTGTTTCATTTATAGTTTGAGTTTTAAGTTCAAGGGCAAAATAGGCCTTGATGCCAACTAAACACGTAACAACACTTTAAATGAATCTTTAATATTTGGCTTGTTTTCGACTTCTTTACTGCCCCCGCAATATGAAATGTCGTTTTTGTGTTGGAGTGGCTCAACAAATGTCATTCAAAGTTGCATGCAGGCCGGTGACATTTTTAGCTTTCGCTGTAATTAGCAAGTATGTTACGGTACTGTGATTTTTTCAATTTGCGGACATATAAGCTCGTTTATTTTGGTGAACTGTTCTTTGTGTGCACGGATGTTAGTTGATATTGCTGTTAGATTTCCTGCTCAAGTTGTTTACGTGGCACAGAGCCCAATTTTGTGCTTACCAGATTTAAGCTTATCTGTAGCTGTATTCTGTTGCAGTAGATTTCTGTCATCAGAAAGGTGTTTTTTATTTTTCTTTCTGCTCTGTTGTGTTATTTTAACAGGTTCTTAAAATGTATTTTCTTTGAGATTTCGTTTGGGGGTGGATGTTGATTTTTTGGTTCATAAATAGTTGCTGTTTTATATTCGAGAACTCAATATTCTTAATGTAACCATGCTAAATAAAAGGCAACGCGAAATATTTGTTTTTTGAAACTACGGTTCACACTTCAGATACCTTTTACCTTTTAATAACAAATTAACCCTTTCACTCCCAAGAGTGCTAAGTTAAGAACTGAGGAAAAATCCTTGAACTTCATTTAATTGCAAAACATGAAAGTACTGGTCAATAGCTTTCATTTGAATGGTCACACACTAGGGTTTCATCCACAGACTAAAAGTTACAACCACATTTATTGACACAAGGCTTGACTCTGGGAGTGAAAGGATAAAGCAGGCTAGGAACTATGAGACTACAGGACCTGTTTATCTTCATGTACGGAAACAAGACAGTATTGATTCTTTATATTCCCAATATTATTTATAATGGTATGAAAAAAGAACAGAGAATTTGATGTTGACCTTGTGACATATTAGGGTTAATATGGATTACATTACGTTGCCCAGAGATACGATATCACCATGGGAGATAAGAAAACGAGAACACTGTCCGATTGCGACCACCTACATTTGAACCTCCGCTAACAGAACCTCCCATAGGCTAGGCGGACACTAGTAAGCGGACAGTTAGTCATGCACCCAGCTACATACGAACACTGCATTTTTAACCTCCCATAAGCGGACACCTCTTAAGTGGACACTTTTTCAGACCCCAAGGGTGTCTGCTTACAGGAGTTTCGACTATATAGGCTATTCCGTGGTCTGTTAAAGTAGATGTCAAATAAAATAAAATTAATTACACCAAAAAAACCGTGTAAATTGCTTAACTAATATATACGGGGTTAATTTTATTTGTCGACCTGTCAGTGCGTCTTATCTTCCATGATCTAAGTCTGGCGAATGTCAGTTTATTTATAACAACGCAAGGGCCTTGAAACTAATTCCAAATTACAGTGGAATCCCGATTTCTTGAACCTCCAAGAGAAACGAAAATAACTCCCAATTATTGGAACCAATTAATTATTGGTTCGAGAAATTGGGAGTTCGAAATATCAGGTTAAATTACAGTGAAACAAATCCAAGGGAAATGACTTTTGGTTTTAGTTATCGGGGTTGTGAGAAATTGGGATTCTTCTGTAATTCAAAATGGTTTAAATAACAGTTTGATGTACTTGCAAATGTATGCACATGTAAGTTAGAATTTTCTTAACTTTCCTTGCTACAAAATTTGTTGTTGACATCATATATCAGGGTTGTGACAAAGCGGTACATGTACATGTATTCTCATTTATTTAAAAAAAATGTCATTCTCTCCATACCATTTTGCGTGTTATATACTTTTGTTATTTTCAATGTGCTGCTAAATTAATTTCTGTACATGTATTAAGTTATATTCTTAATTACTTCTCTAGGGCTGTTAATGAACTGTCGGGCTGAATATTGGATTTGTCAAATTTTATGCAAATACAAAGTGTTAATAGCAAATACTGTTAGTAAGAATGATTACCTTAAAGTTAATTGTTGGTGATATTAACACTGTATTTTCATTATATAATTTACAAATGTACATGGATTGCATAAGGGACGGGAACTGTTGAAAACAGAACTTCATAAAACTGAATTTTATTTAAATCGAAAGCAACACACCCTGTCAAAATAAAGCCTTTACCAAATCAATCATATGCCAGCGGTTTAGTGAAGGTATATTTACTATTTTATATTAATAGCACAATGTCAAAGGCCATATCTGTGCACAGGGCAGTAATACCAGCAGTCAAATGAATACAATATAATTATAATTTTTTATTTTCCATCGCAAAAAATAAAGGTATCGATCTAATCCACCTAGTAATATCTATCTACATTTATCTAGTAAATATATACATATGGATCTCTCAATAAAGTTATTTTCGCATGCCATGCTTTTCTCGCAACCAACATTAATATACCTGGCTCGTTTTTGGACACTCAAATTGGCGTAGAAATTTTCGTAGAGCGCTACGCCTCTACGTTTTTACCTCGTAGGTTCATCATTTCTGTGCTTGCTCGAAGCAATGAGGCACTTTTAAAGAAAATACCGCCAATATTACTCTTCACAATCATTCCACTAATTTGAAAGTTGTTGCTATGGTTACCTTCATCAACTGCCCAAAGTAATGTGGCTGTGGCTATTGCCATCTATTAGTAGTAACGTTATCTACATTATAAACTGTACGCTTCTACAGCTCTACGTTTCAGTAATGGCGTTATCTGCATTATAAACTGTACGCTTCTACAGCTCTACGTTTCAGTAATGGCGTTATCTACATTATAAACTGTACGCTTCTACAGCTCTACGTTTCAGTAATGACTCGGCATCCACATTATAAAATGTACGCTTCTACGGCTCTACGTTTCAGTAATGACTTCATCCACATTATAAACTGTACGCTTCTACGGCTCTATGTTTTAGTAGTAACGTTATCTACATTATAAACTGTACGCTTCTACGGCTCTACGTTTCAGTAATGGCGTTATCTGCATTATAAAATGTACGCTTCTACGGCTCTACGTTTCAGTAATGACTCGG